GACGTAATTTTTCATTTTACTTTCCAACGTACGTTAGCGTGAACAGATTTGAGATCATACGTTGGTACAGAGCAATGCTCGAGATTAGATTTCCCACTTCATCGCTGGTATGTACGTAAATAAGCATCGGTGGAAAAACCGCTTCGCAAGCATCGAAGCATCGATTATTGTTACCCGGAGAATCAAATGTTTTCCATGGAAAAATCCAGCAAATTTCAGTCGTGTAATGTTCACACTAAATACAACAATGAGGAAGTTGTAGGTTCTCTTAGAAAAAAAATACACGCGCATTGTATATGTGTATTCGAGAGACTAAATTGCGCATGAAACTAAATATGAAATTTCATATTTCGCATAAACTCTGTATAATTAACCTATACCGTTGGAACTTTTTAAATATAAAAAATCTAGTTTAAATACGTTACTTTCTCGTTATTTCGGGCAAGCTCATATCTTATTTGATATTTTCTCTATTCGCGTATTTGTAACATGTTGTATAACATACTCGTACGTACACGTGTATCTACCTTTAAATACAATCGACGCGGTACGTTGTGACTACAGCTTACGTAAAAAGTATGAAGCAAAATGGAAGAAAAGACATGCGATCGAAGGTTTGCTTTGGAATGAAAGAAGAAAGGGCGGTTCGAAAAAGGTAGAGAAACGAACACGAAGGAATCTTCGTGAATCGTTGTTATCGCGGCAAGAAGTCCAAACAGAGCGGCTAACTTTTTCGATAGCCCAGCCAGGGGAATCGTTACCCTTTCAAATGCGAAAAGCGTTTGGTATGATCCATGCGCGGCCATTGCGGGGCGGCGCGGTCCTGGTCAAAGTAAAGGCGGAATCCGGCAGAATGTATGCAGTGCCCCAGAAAAAAAGTTTGGCTAGTGGATAGAGCGCGCGGAGGATTAGAGCCGTGTCCGGGGCCGAATTTATCCGCGAGGTTAGAGCGTGAAACCGGCTCGCAACCGGAGCCTCGAAACTGTGTGAAATCGTATTACCCGATGAATATGCAGCGCGATTTTGCGGTCGAAAGTTTTCGGTTCCGCTTGTAACTCGTAGGCGGTCTCCGGTAAGCGACGACGGAACTATGGAACCCGAATCCTCTAGGCGTATTCTAATTAGTACAAAAACCAGAGGAGAACAAGGTGACGGCATGGCGGCAACACGCGGAACCAGGAAAAGGAGATAGCAAGAGTATAGGGAGAACGCAAGGCTGTTCCTAAATCACACTCGACCGAAATCTGCGTTCGGCGGTTTAATTGGTTTTTGGCTAGTAGAAAGTGCGGCAAGAAATCACCGGCCAGCCGGGAATTAATTAGACATCGACCCCGGAATAACGATTACATCAAATTTAATTGGACAATTCCATTTGTAGATTGGACAGTTTTGAATACGCGCCGCGTAAGAAGCGCCGTTTCCGTGGAAATAATTGGTTTTCTTCGACTACGGCCGAGAGAAGGGGTGTGGCTCTCTTTGTCGTTCCTCGAATAGATCTTCGCTTCTTCCTAACCTTTCTACCATCTTTTCCTTTAGGATCTACTTTTCATGGTAAGCCAAACGGGAAATTGCATCGCGAATGTCTGATTGGCTACCGATGTCTGAACGGATGATTAAAAGTTGATCGAATTATCGAATTGACGCGGCTCGATAGATGATTTCGAGCAAATGTCTCTGTAGGTCGAGTTAGCTTAAGTTTCATCGTTCGCGAAATAATCGGTTTTCTTGTCGCAACACCGTGCTATTGGTTCGTTGTCGAAGCTATCTCTTTGGCTTCCATGCGATTGTTTTGATCATTGATCGAAAAGCTGTGAGCGAAAAAGGAAAATATTCTCGCGGTGGCGACGCGTTCGTTCAAACGTTTCATCGTCAAATGTCATTTTATAATCGATTCGAATTCGATATTCGAATTATTGTCTTTCATAGCGAATTGAATATACGCATTCGATGGAGACACATCGCAAGACGGTCCTAAAAAATGACAATGCTTTTGCAATTGCGATAGTGACCAAAGGAGCGAAAAGATTCGAGTTTGAAATGACAATATTGCTTTGTTCTACAACTCGTTCTGTCACGCCTTGTTTCATGTTTTCTCTTCCAACAGTATTGTTGTAGTAACAAATTGTTGTTTTGCAATTGTCCGATAAAACGGACTTCTGTGCGTAATCCATGTGTAAAGTTTTCAGCTACGCAGACGATGCAATTGTTGAAATATAAAATTGTAGTAGTCGTTGTGATAGCATCGTTACTGGATTGGATACTATTTTAGAAAAACGTTTTGTAATCTGTAACCACTGAGATATGTAAAATAATGGACGGGTATGTACGACTAGGAAGAAGAACGCGTAATAAAGAAAAAACTAATCGAGCAACGGTATTTCGTTATTTCGCTATTCCGTTAAAGGAAAAGGAAAGGAGAGTGGACAAAAAGAAGGAGGAAGCTACGTAACGCTAAATGATAAAATTGATTCTTACCTTCTTCCACTCGTGATACACTCGGGCTACGCGGAACTACGAGATAAAATGAAATTTCACGGTAGACAAAATTTCCGGGTCACAGAAAGGTATCAGAATAAATTTTCAAGTAATCTATTGAAACTTCACCGGTATATCGTAACGTCGTGGAGCGTAGCTAAGAGACCGTCTAAAGTAAGTAATACAAGAATATTAAAATGACAAAAGGAAATGTGTAAGGCAGAGAGAAAAGAATGCAGGTATGGAAGCTACCTAGGACCACCCATGACGACATGTAGATTGTCAGAACAAAATACGATGTTAGATAATGCACCGTAACAAGATCGGCTAATGCCATTGGTCTGCTCTACTTGGAAAAGTGCATCCACGCAGCAATCACGCTGATAAGATTTACCTTCCGTGGCGTGCAAGTATCCTTAACGGCCGGTAGGTCCGAAATTATCAAAGGAAAAAATTTCTAGGTCGACCACGAAAAGTCGTAAAAAAGATAGTACGAAATGCGTGTGGATACTCACGGAGAAAAAACTTGATCTAGAGATTCCTGGGGCTTCTGGGTAGCTTGCTCATGGATTTCTGGTCCGATAGTATGCAGCTGCAGTCCTTGTCGTAACCTCGCTACCCTCTAACTTTTTCGCGATTTCCAGCTTCCGTTCCACCTTGATTCTCGTTGTTTCATACGCTGGATCTTTATGCATTCGCCTTGAGCGATCGTCGGTCCGTGCAAGGAAATCCAGAATTTCCAGTCAGGGTGAACGACGTTCGATTTTTCAACGTGTATAAGGCTCGTGTATTGTATATCTGTATATACTTAGCTGGTAACTGCGTTTGCAACGTTGTTCGTTCATTTGCTGGCAAATTATACTTCTCGATTTTTCTCGCGGCAGTACTCGTTTGCATCGAGCTATTCTTTTCTTTTTTTTTTATTTTTTCGATCGCGTTTAAATGGTATGTAATTATTAGCGCAGGTCAACAGCCACATTGTGATTTTTGTCTCTCGCGTTTGAGAAAAGAACAAATGCCGTGCAATAGGTATCTATTAGGAGAATGAGTTAAGATTTTTCAAAGGAAAGTTACGAATAAAAATTTCATCGTACGGCTTGTTGAATTACGTTTGGCAAAATTTTGTAATTATATTGTCCATGTACGTTTTACTTTGAAACATCGGAGGTTGCGCGGAAAGAAAGAAATTATTTTACATTAACTCGTCAAGCGAATCTCATTTCTCCTTCTAAAGTACATTTTTTGGAACACGTGAAATTTTTCTCAAAACAGAATTCATTCGGTGGGATTTAATACGTTCCTTTGCTTCTTTTGAAATAACTGTTTGTACATATATTGCGTATTCTTTCGCTTATAACGAATATTTCACGAACGACATCGTGCAACGGATTGCACATTCTATTTTACTTGAAACTTTAGATACATTCTATTTTTAATTTGCTTTGAAATAAAATAAACTGCCTTTTTTTCGAATGAATAAGTAAAAGTCTAATTTTTCATTTGAGATCGTATAATTTAATAACTTTTAAACTGGTCCGTCTTTTTAAATATCTTGTTCGATAAATGTATAATAAACGTAGGATGGAAATACCATTTTCGAAAATCTTTCAAATCTAAGTAAAATAGTTCGGTTAATAATAATTTAATGATTTCTATTTCGATAAATAGGAGTCAGTCGAGTAATTGAAAGAGAGATGGTTGAAAGAATGTCAAAAAGTAGTCTGGAAATATCTAGCGATTTATTAATTACTGCTGCTTACGTTTCTTTATCTGAAATAAAGTAAGACGTACTGTACGACATATTTCATCGTCACGGTACATTGTCGTAGATACACATACGTACGTACGCTATATATATCATCGGCAACTCAGTTACTACGATTAGTGAACGATAGGAATTTCTTAATTTGCCCGCTAAGCAGTAAGCGTTTCAATCGTTGTGTACGTTTAAGCTGCGTATGTAACACGATCCTATACCTATACCATACAATCTATACCGTATACATGTCATATAGAGGACCGTGCTTGAGTCAAAATTTGGCGCGCAATAGTTTTCAATATGGCGTCTGAGCGTTGGATGTTTGTAACGCGTGCATCGTAATTCTAATATTAATTACTAATAATTGACGTCAACGTTACTCTTTCTTCTCCAACTATCGTTCCGATGGATAAATCTTTATCGGTGATACGTTGTTGTTAATAATAAACGTGTGTTTTTATAGTAAAGTGGCAAAAGTCATATCGTTTACTGATTGACGTTACTGTATCGAAGAAGTGACACAAAGAAGAAACTTTATCTCTGCTGTTCGTTAATGCTTTAGCAGTGTTATCATAATTACGAATTAAATAATTACTTAGGAATTAGCACTTAGTAGGTAAATATGTATGTGCTCGGTGTTTCGATCCGACTCGGCAGAATTTCATTTACAATCGGATGTTTTGGCGTAGCTCGTAACGTAATACGAAATACTACGTTTTAGGAATTAGATTCTAAAGTAACTCTTGTTTGATCTGGTTTGTTATAGAGGTTGCAGTGGTCCAGCAGCGGGGCACATCGTGAACTTTGTTATCTGAAGGGACGTAGCGAGGACCAGTGTCAGAATTATGTACGAGTATTCGGCAGACAAGGGCCTGATCGATTTCTTGTTTGTGGAACGAACGCATACAAGCCGCTCTGCAGGCAATTCACCATCAAGGTAAGCGCTTTAGATCTTTTTTTTAATCGGTGGAAATATCAAGGTCGTTTGATAAGTAGTTCTTTGTTTCAAACTACCAGATTCCAGTCACTTTAATGTTCGACCACCACAGTTAACCGCGCATGCGAAAGCAAATCGTTAAGTGAAATTGAGCTTTGTGGCAAACCATGCTTGCCTGTACTGTACAGCCTTTCTATTTCTATTGTTGGTATAGAAGCTATTATAACGTGATTAGTTACAAATTACGCACCGGTAAAATAGAAACCAAAAATACCAATTTTATGTTTCCAGAAAAAGATTTTCGATATTTTACAAAAATATTTAAATATATATTTTTAATCAAATTTGCCCGATGTTCACTCGTATGCCATTGACAAATATTCATTACTTCTATACTTTCTTAATGAAAGCTCGTAATTTTTAAATCTGATTATCCGATTCGATCGAAAGATCTCTATACTGAAGGATATTTATTACAAATAATATTCTGTATCGTTCGTTTGCTGATACTTGATTGAAACGCACACGGTACTTTTTAAACGATTATTTAAATAATGATCTATATTTTGACATTGCTGAAGTAATGGATTAATTAGGGTACATCGACCTAGAGTGAAATATCTTCATAGAAAGTTCATAGGGCAAGTGTATTTTTTTTCGTATCGTAACAAATTGTACCACATGTTTTGAACATTAATTAATCGAAGAATGGTGATAAATCAAAAAGATACCATGTATAAACCATGGATAACCCATGTTCTTAAGAAATATTTACTTATTATATATTATATTATATATATTTATTTATGACATTTAAATATGTAATTCTGTATATTATATTGTATTATGCGCGTTGAGTTTCGAATTACTACTAACATTATCGAAGAAATTTTAGTCTTTGTTTTTTTAGTCTTTGAATTTTTGCCTTTTGTCTCATTAATAAAGGAGCGAGCTCAAAAATATCGTGACGCTTGGATATTTGAGCGATACTTAGTTAGTTGCATACAAAATCTAATAAAAATACAGTATATATAGACAATGTATAGTTATATCAATGACAGACGCAATTCTATTTAATTTATGACAATTAAAATGAATAAATATTAACACCGTTGTGATCGTTCGATTCGATAATTATTTAAATAATTTTTGATCCTGGATAATTGAACATTCCCATAATTTTCTACTTATAGATATAACGATATCAGGCTTACGAATAGCATCCATTAAAATATTGCTTATTTAATATTAATTGTGCGATTGATGTATTGCGGTTTGTTTCCATTTTATTATAATGAGTAATTATTAAATCAATATCCATTAAAATTCTTACAAATGAGAATAGCAAATAACAACGATAATGAATGTAATAGGATTGAAACAATCAACTATATGCACACAAATTGATCTAAATAATATCGAACTCTGATTAACGCTTATTATAAAATATCGTATAATACTAGGAATAATTATCTTCAGAAAGTACTCGTACGCGATAAATTCCTTAAATTTCATACCGACGTACGCAACAAACGATTAAGAAGCTGTACGAAGTAAGTTAAACATCTTAAGTGGTATATGCGGTCAACAGCTGTATATATAAAACGCTTTTGTTTCGTATTGCAAAATCAAATAATCTATAATTTCATAACGTTAATCTGTTTCAACAAATAGACGCAGGAGGCCCATATTTCTACCTTCTTTATATTTAATTGATTACACGATATATAAAAAATTTTATCACAGTCTTATCCTACATGGAGATAAAACTGTTCGTATTAATTTACAATATTTCATATTTTAATCTTTATAGATACATTAATGTATGTTGATCGTTGTTCTCGAAACAAAATTGATTATCTAGAACACAACATGGCACGGCCATACATGGATACTTAATGAGCAAGCGTTCAACAAAGGCGGACGATGGTCAGATTTTGGTTTTGTTTCGTTTGTTTATTTAATAATCAGGCGCACACAGCTGTGTACGCACACACGTGTTTCAAGGCGAAGCTTAACGCGAGAGGAAAGGGTGGCATTTTAGCAGCGTTACTGCAAAGTCAGACAGGGAGAGCAAACTGAACGGCAAATAACGTTAGAAACGTAGAATTTGCGGATAATTTATTGCTCGATGTTAAATATTGGCGCAACAAACAGAACGTGTAATACGTAATAAGCGAGAACGATATGAGAACTATAATCAGATTCGCATCGATTCTACTTAATGATAACCGGGATCAAGTTGTTTGAAGATTGGTTTAAGTTACGTTAAGCTAATGAACCGTGGTGTTTGTCATTTTAGATTAAGAAACTACTAGAAATTAAAATCATACACTTGGCTTGATTCTCTTTTTCCTTTCTAGTATTTACGTATTTTATAAATTTCCAGAGTCATAATTATCTTCACGAATATATCATATGTACATCATCGTTCGTTATTTCCAGCAAGTATATAAATATAATTTTTATGATATCAATCACTGAAAAAGTTTTTACTTAGAACAATTTTGTACAACTTTACAAAGTTACAATTACTCCTGCTTGATGATGATAAAATACGAAACATCTCAATGATCGTCTGTTGTCCATCAAATTTCAGTGATAATTGTTGTAACGCGTGTTAATGTTCCGACGGGAAAGTCGATTAAAAAAGTTCTGATTAGAAAAAGAACGAAACTGTATCGGGTTGTTGACTCGGGAAAATACAAGCAGTAGAAGTTGGGGTTTTTATGGCATCTTTTACGAGGTTAGAGTAGACCGAAGTTCTTCCCAACTTTTTACTTTATCACGGTGCACTACTAATATCATATAATAACTCATAAAACACGGTTAATACTGTATCTATCTGTACTAGTTTACTCCTGCAAGCTATCGTATATTGCTCGCTTTCGTATTTTTCTTTTCCTTCTTTTCTTAGGAACAACGATCTTTCATAGTAGCATAATAATGTATTTTTCTAAATATATGTTCCATTAACCTTATTATCGAGTATTTATCAAGCAATCTAATTTTGTTTTCTAATTTTCAATAACTTAGATTAATACTTGAAACAATTGAAATAATAATTGAACGTCTTTGAGGAAGGTATCTATTTTACGGACGTTCGATATTAAAGGTATCGTAAGTCTTTGCATTGAGATTTGCGATAAAATAGGAAAGAAAGGAAGAGAGAAGGAATAAAAACCAGGAAATTAAAAAGTGTAGAAAATAATTCATAAAATGTTATTTATGAAATATTCAAGTACACCGAGCGAACATAGGCGTAAAAAGTAGAACAATATAAAATATGATTTAAACTATGTAATAAAGAAGGGAAAATTAAATAACTTCAGTTCGAAGATTTTTTAAGAATATCTTTCGAAAAATGTAAGAATTTTAATTATGTAGGTTGCACGAAAGTAATTTATTTGCAGGGAAACTTGATATTTTACGAAATCTACTTATGGTCTCGAGTTGTGATATAACATTTCGGCAATTATGCTTGTGAATTTAATACATTTCTGGAGAACGTTAGTCAGCTAAACGAGTTTGCTGTCGTTATCCTTTGCGATATATTAATTCTCTCGGTCATTAGCTCGATACATCTGTCAGATTAAACGGTCAAATTTTAATGCAAATTTCATATCGAAGTTGACGTTGTTCACGTACCGGTTGCGAAATTAATAATCTCGAGATTGACCTCGTTGATTTTGATAAAAGCCTTCATAAGTTGTAAATTTTATATCTTCTGAATTCGCTGCTTTGATCATATGAGATATTGATGATTATATTACCGGAATACTTGTACCTTATTTTCGTTAATTGTTTTACTTCAAAGCAACTGCAATGTTTACGACATTTCGTTTTAAAAACGTTTCTTTGTAATAATATTAAAAACGGAAAGAAATATCTTGTGCGTTAAAATTCGTTTAAAATACAAATTGTCGAAAGTCAAAAGGATATTAAATTTCTATCTTTTAAGAATTTTAAGCTTTGTTGTTCTTCGTAGAATGCATATTGCGTTTTTTCTTTTATCTTTATAATATTTAATTATTTGTCGAAACTACAATCGCTACGAATTTCCTAACGCTGATAAATCTTGAATTCAAACGTCTGTTGTATTTTAGCTGTAGAAACGATCCACTTGATCTGCATAGCTACTAAGTTTACTGTCACGTTTACATGTTCCTAGCTGAATTAATTGCTGCAAGCCAAGCGTGTAGCATATCGTTCTAGATTTACTAAAAAAATTACTAACGAAAAATCCATTCGTTCGGTTTCTATATTTAATTCAAGTATCAATCTCATATTCGTGTAACGTGAAACTTCGTATGTCGTATAAAACATGCTACATTATAAAGAATAAGCTAGTAAACTTGTAGAATCGGTCTTGACGGCACATAACACCGGAATCTTTGAAATTTTGTCAGTGATAAAAGGTATATTTGAAAGTATACTATATCGGTTTTCCATGTTGTAGCTTTTAATCAAATTTATTGGATCGTGTGCACCACATTGCGCTTTAATATCATTTGTTGCATCGAATTTTCGCTCCGTTGCATTCCGGATATCCGCTAAGACCAAAGAAGTTTTAACAGAGAGGGGCTATAAGATTTTCAAAAGGACTTTTGAAACGCGCCGTTCTCTGAAAAACCGTAGGCAGAGAGATGGCGAGAGAAAGAGAGAGAACGATGAGCAGCTTCCAGAAAAGCGCGCTTCAGCTTGTAATACACTTTTCCCCTCGCGTTTACAGCCGACGAATCGTTCCTCTTCTCTCCCTGTTCGCCTCTTTGTGTTGTTAGCTTCGCATGCTCTACACAACCTGCTATCGCTCGAAGGCACTATTTTTAATCAGGGATACAGATAAAAAGAGAAATTAACCGTCGATTTTGCCGATGGGCGTAACGACTTGTAGCGAATCTACATTCGGTTTCTAGTCGCCTGCTTTTAAGTCTGTGAGCCGCGTATATCCACAGAATTCGTTAAACTCCGGTCTTCTTGTTCGGACATGTCGCGAATGC